CCTGTTAGTCAACACACCAACAACAAACGATACAAAAAGAAATGTTGTGTGGGTTAGTGAATTAAAAAAATAAATAACTTATATATCGATGTGTCAATACTATAATAAAAGGTATATGAGCAGACTTTTTTTAAGTCAAAAGTCATCCAATATCTTCTCCCGCCTTGGGTTACGCGAGAGGGAGTGTCAGGCTCTTACTTAAAAACCACTCCGTTTCTACTCTGCTCCTCGAGCCGGAACCTCGGGTAATATGGGTAGACTTAGACACCTTTTAATGGCATTAGTACCTACCCACTGGGTAATCGCCCTTTGTATTTATATCCCCCATATATATATGAGTAGGTACATGTACTAGACCATTTAGAAGTAAATTAAAATAATGTTAAATTTTTTGAATTTGATACTTTGTTTTTTGGACACTGCGTTGATATTTATGTTTGACAAAACATGTAGGTATAATTAATTTATTTTCCGTGTGAAAACAGTCATTAATAATTTCTATTAAGATACATATTTTTATATTGAGGACACTGCTAGTGCAGTGACTGGGCAACCGGCTGCCGCGCAACGTGTCGCGGGTTCGATTCCCGCACGGAGACACTGTGTGTCACCCACAAATTGTTGTTCCGGGTCTGGGTGTCATGTGTATGTGACCATGTATGTTTGGAAACGCACCCACGGCATAGGCGAAAATCCTAGGGTACGGCAACGTTATTTAAAGTGTGGGAGAGCCATGCTTCGGCACGAATGGGCCGGCCCGACCGAAGTGATACCACGGCCTCACAGAAAACCGACGTGAAGCAACGCTTGCGTTGCGTTTCATCGTGTGAGTGAGGTTACCGGAGGCCCAACTTCCCTCTTCTTCCCCAATCTCCCCAATTCCTGAATCCTAATCCCTAAAAGGCCGGTAACGCACTTGTAACGCCTCTGGTGTTCCAGGTGTCCATGGGCGACGCCGATTGATTACCATCAGGTGATCCGTCAGCCCGTTTACCGGCTTATGACATAAAAAAAAAGAATATACAACTAACTTATGAAATATTATTGCACCCTTCCACCCTTCCACCCTAATTTATTTTGTAGCGTGCATGACATGTAGTGATGCCTAGGTGACACGATTGGTAGGTATTACTTGGCGCAAAAATTGCATTTCAGTGAAGCATTCACAGCAAATTTTTTTGCAACGCTTTTCATGATGACAATCCATCTACACTTTAGAATTAAATCAAAGTGGGCCTATACATACCTACCAGCTGCATTGTTGGTTATGAATATTTTAATATTTATAATTATTGCTAATAAATGTAAAGTGTGTGTGTTTAAACGTTTGTTTGTAACTCAATAACTTCCAAACAGCTGAAGGGGGTGAAATTCAAGGTACGAGTAGATTATGGTCTAGATATATATATATATATCATAGGTTACCTAATTTTTATCTCTCAGGCTTAGGTACGCGGGTGAAGCCGCTGGCAGAAGTTAAATTGTCCATACAGTAAACACAAACGCTTTGCAAACTCCTTGCATATTATTTAAAGAAGTACAGACTGTTCCTCAGGAAGAAACTTTACAATTTCTGTCTAGTCTATATTTAGCAAATCCGCTGAAACTGGTTCGTAGTTCTATACACCAGATAACTCCAAGTAAGTACTTCTTAAGAAGTTCAAACATTACCTATGGATGTCAAGTCACCAAACTCAACTACCTTACATAACTACATGCCTCTTAACATCTGTGAGGGTTCCACGGATGGACAAATTACATTTAGATAACACCCACCTTTTTTTTAACCCCAAGGTGGGAAATCCTCATGGACTGTCATGAAGCCCCTTCGCCTGGGGAGGACGAAAGGGACTGTTAGACTCTTACTGACTAAAACCCACCCCGGTGTCCCGTCTCACACGTGAATACGAGGGTGCGGGAGTCACATTCTGCCGCAGCCCCCAAACTCGTGGCGGCCTGCCTTGCCAGGCCCTACCCCAAGATGCACAGAGGAGTGAGGTGTTGGTCTACTCCGTGCAACGTCTCGGAGGCGCGCGTGGACACAACGCGCGCCACCGTCTCGGGTCCTTTAAAACGGGGTGACGGGGACTTCCCCAAATCCACCGTCTTCGGACCCATTTAGGGGGGTCGAAAGAGAGCGATTCAAAGTCAAAGTCAAAGTCAAAGTCAAAGCATTTATTTCAATTAAACCATAGTTTGGTACTTTTGAAACGTCAACAAATACAAAATAAATAATAGTCTGTCAGTCAGTCCGTCAGTGAAGCTAGGTGAAGCTAGGTGCTCATTCCAAAACGTAGATTCGAATGGAGAAGAACGAGCAAGAAACTCCATTCGTTACTCTTTTAAAAAAGTATGTTCTACAATGTCTCTGATACATATTTCAATACTGTACGCATATGTAAGAACAATGCAAAGACACGCTTGACGCATTATGCTACTAACTTACTAAAATAAAAATAAAAATAATAAAGATCTTAAGTCCAACATGGTGCTCACATATGCATACTGACAATCCATAGAAATAGTGCTTCTATACAAGAAAAAGGAAACTCTTTGTTTCAATAAAGAAAGAAATGCTCGATGCCATAAGGAAACTAGATTGTCTACATTAGAATTAAAGTATTAAATTATGTATTATATTACCTACTATTGGAATTTAACTACTGACTACATTTGAGTATTGTCCAGTGGAGCCGAACCAACATGCTGCCAAGCATTCTTATCTTCAAGATAATCTGTCAGTGTGTAGTAAGCTTGATTACATAATTCGCGCTTAATATATGTTTTAAATTTACTTTCATTGAGATCTAGTATGCTATTTGGTATTTTATTATAGCATTTAATACCTAACCCCATAAAGGATTTCTGTACTTTGGACAGTCTGAATTGCGGTATAGCTAACTTATTTTTGCCTCTAGTATTAAAATTGTGTCTATCGCTTCTTTTTTCAAACAATTGCCTATTTTTCCTTACATACATTATATTTTCATATATATATTGACAGGGCACCGTTAAAATATTTATCGTTTTAAACAATTCTCTCAACGATTCGCAACGGCTTTCTGCTCTACTTCGACGCCCGGTGCGCTTACTGCGGGACGGTAGAGAAATTGTAATTTCCCTTTCCCTCTCCGCAGCCTCCTTCCGCGATATTACATCTTCGCAGAAGAACACCACTGCATCCCACGACTCTGCACTGCCGACCATTTTCTGGACAACAGTCGACAGTGACAGATCGTTACCGATCTCTAATATGCGACGCGGCTCATCCCAAGCCACGCACTTCATAAGGTTGTGCTGCGCCGTATCCTCCTCACAATGGACGCAGTGATGGCACCGAGCGTTTGGCTCCCTGTCTATGCGAAACAGTAACTTTCCGAAACACCCCTGCCCCGAAAGCACCTGCGTCACTCGAAACGACAGGGTGCCATACTTTCTCCCGAGCCAGTCGTCGAGTACTGGCCGGACCACCTGGATGAAGTTGAATCCAGCGGTAGGGCGTTGAAGCGTCTCCCACCATTCCGCCACTAAGATCTGACGAAGCTCCGACCGGTGCGATTCTATCTGTCGTTGCACCAGTCGGACACCTAGATCTGCTATTCCTTACGCCACAGATAAAATGACGCAAGTACTTTCGCCTCGAGGTCCCAGGGCGGAGATCCGGCCAATACACAAGCTGCCTCGTAGGAAATCGTGCCATAAACCACCTTCAGTCAGTTGCACAAAAACTAGTTTTGGAATCGCTCTGGGATCTTGGACTTCTCATAAGAGTACATAAACTACATACAATTAACACGAATATAATATACATATACTAATAATATACTACATCACACCTTTTAGCTCCGAATGGGTAGGCAGAGGTGCACATTATGCCACTGTACAATGAAACACCCACTTTTCACTATTTATGTTATGAGTCCCATGGAATAGGGGGTGAGCCTATTGCCATATTCCGAACATAATACCAGGCTCCGTGCTACTACTGAGAAGTAAAAAAATCCAGTAATAATTTGCCTGACCCGGGAATCGAACCCGAGACCCCTTGCCCGGCAGTCGTACTTGCAACCACTCGGCCAACGAGGCAGTCCTAATAATCTTTATATAATCATTCTTCTGTGAGTGTGTATGTCACTGAAATTCTCTCAAACGACTGGACTGATTTTGATGAATTTTTTTGTGTGTGTTCGAAGGGATCTGGGAATGGTTTAGATTCACAAATCAGCCCAGCAGATGGCGCTGCAGTCGATGTTTAGGTTATTCATCCTCAACAGCTGAACTAATTTGAATAAATTTTTGTTTATACATTCAAGTGGATATGCAGGACAACGTCTGTTGGATCCCCTAGTATATACCTATAACTAAGAAATATAAATACATGTTATAATAAATTTAAAGGAAACGAAGGCTCAGCCCACGCACGGCACACACTGTATGCTCCGCGCGCCGTGTCCTCCAGGCTGTCCTCGCAGTTATTCCGGTTAAAAGCATCAGCATAACTCTGTAATTATATTTACTTATAATCAAATTTTGTATGTCCAGATGTTAAGTTTTTAATGAAGCAGTACCTACATGGTAGAACTTCACTAAATAGCGGAGCTTTGTAGATGGTTTTAACAAGTATCGTTGTGTAAACACATACATTTCACTACCACAAAATATACATACATACTTATAATTATATTATAATCAAACTACCCGATATCGAGCTGTGAACATACGAGAATATTTAAATTTCGCGGGCTACCCTGGAACATTCACCATAAACAAAATTAATAACCACAAAAAAATTACCACAAACTTAAAAATTCTCATAAAAGTTTTTAATTTTTAAACCTTGATTATTGCGTACCAAGTATATCACTTTTGTAAAAGTTTGTATAATAGCTCGTATAGCATAAGTGCGACCACCATACGGTATGGTCCATACCATATCACAATCAATATCTGGAACGGATCTTTGACTACGTAGTTACGTACTACGAATCGTACGACGATTTTTGACGGGCGGCCATCTTGTTCTATCACATTCATATGTTTTTCGACATAGTGTACGACGTTTGTGTTCGTTCAAAAGGAGGATTAAATAATCTCATTTCGCAAAGTGGTGAACTTAATGTAACTATTGTTTACAATATAAATAATTCAGTACATTTTATTTGCACTTTTTAAAATATATAACACGCGTAGGCTAGGAAATGCAAGCTGCAGAAGAAGGTAAGGAGTTTTAATAACTTTCTATTTAGTTGTGCAAACGGTTTTGGAATGATAATAAATGTATTAATGTTTAGTAAAACTTGTTATTATGTACTTTCAAACATGTTTATACTTATTTAATTGTATTTCGTGTACAATATATACAACAATTCTAATGTTTAAATAATGACACCGAAAGACGTGTTTAATCTCAAATTACCCTAAATACAATGTTAAAATAGTTATTTGGTTCATTTACCAACCAGAACTGATGAAATATAATGAAGTTAACTTTATTACTATTGTTTTACTTGTTTGTTAAAATTAAAACATTCGTCAATGGGTATCCTATCTTTTGTTTTTAATGTCGTGTCTACTAAATACTCATTATTTTAAACAATCTTTAATAATTTTGAAGTTTATACAAGATCAGATAATCTGTTTTTATTTTTAGAGATTATAATATTGTTTGCATTAACTCGTGGTGTGCCAGTATGCACAATATTTTGTTTTCTATTGAATCTTATACAGGTGTCCAATAAATAGTACGACCTCCTGTGAGAGGTAAAAGCTGGATTCAATACCTACCTAAAGAACCCAATATATAATTATGCTCTGTGGAATTGTATGGTTTCAAAGAAATACCACATTTTTGCATATCATAACATACAATTATTAGTTAAAATTCTTAGTTTAGTAAATTTTGTACATTCAGTTATTTGTAGGTAAATAGTAAATACTCTGTTCATTGATAGGTCTTTTTTATATTTGAACCAACTGAAGAAAACACAACCCGACTCTATTCAAAATTGTTTGTTTTTGTAATGCATGAAATGTAGTATCTGTTCTTATTTATTTTAGTTGACACCTATATAATGACTGTCAAGTGGTTAATGTTCATCTCTAATTAATTATTATTATGACCATTTAATTTCTATGTACCTAATTAAATATTTTTGTAATTCATTACAGAAGTTCAAGCTAAGTCACGCAATGATGAGGACTCCATAAATTTTAGGCCCTCACCAAACTTCAAGCATATGAAAAAATATTTAAAATCAAAATTCGAAGAAGCAAACCAAATGTCTGATCAGTCATCTCCAACTGAAATGACGGATGCTTCAGCACGTACCAATGTTCTTCAAGATGTAAACCATAATGCCAATGTGCAGCCCCCGCTGCCACCTAATCCCCCACCACCAGATTCACCACCCATGATAACCAACTTAAAACAAGAAATTGTGGATGATGAGTATCAGAACAACGATACTAACTCTCAGGAATTTATTCAAACTGATGAATTAAGAACTACTATTAAAACGGATCAATCAGAAGCAACGGAACAACCAAATGTTATTATGTGCCGCAATTTTGTGCGAGGCACTTGTAAGAAAGGCGCCGCCTGTATATTTGCTCATAAATTAATTTTGTCACAATTGCCTGGCGTATATACGTTTTGCCGCAACTTCCAAAACTCAGTCTGCTCATTCCCAAAATGTAAATTTGTACATGCAACCGTGTTTGAAAAAGAATACTTCTTTAGATCAGGCTATTTGCCTCCACACACATTAGCACATCTTAAAGAGAACATCTCATCACAACCAGATCCATCGCCACAAGCAGAAGGTAAGAAAAGATATTTCATGCATCTTGTTAATTTAGTACCAGACAAATATGTCAAAACTCCTAATGAAGTTCTGATATTTTTTTTAACCCATATATCCCTAAGCAGTCACCGGTAAACCACTCTCCACAAACTACATTATAGACCTTATTTCCAATGTTTAGAGACTACTTTTGTTTGAACAAATTTAAACTGTCAAACACCAAGCGGTCACCGGTGACCGCAACCTATTGTTCTATAATTGTGTCTACAAAACCGGTACTCGACGAGTTAAGGGATGAATTTCAACGAATTAAAGTTCTGATAATGCTATACAGATCCAAGTATTTTCTAGTGTGATAATTGTTGTGTTTGAACATATGAACGTATGTAACGTAATAAACGAGGTGGTATTTTCTTTTCTAGAAACTCCTGGAAATACGCCTGCAGCTGCGTATCCTTTAGGGCTAGCACCACCACCACCACCGGCTAAGCCATGGTAAGTTTTAATCTATCCATAACATAACATCACGCCTTTTATTCCCGAAGAAGTAGGTAGAAGGGCACATTATGGGGCTTTATACCACTGGACAATGTAACACCCACTTTTCACTATTTATGTTATAATTCCCATGTAATAGGGGGTGAAACTACTGCCATGTATCGGGACAATTCCAGACCCCATGCCACTACTGAGAATTTTTTAAAAACCCAATCGTACTTTGCCCACCCAGAAATCGAACCCGAGACCCCTTTCCCGGCAGTCACACTTGCGACCACTCGGCCAATGAAGCACTAATCTGTACCTAATCTATATATTTTAATCTAACAGTACACTATTTTTTTATTTTATAAAACTGAAGAGTCTGTTTGTTTAAAAACACGCCAATCTCCGGATCTACTGGACAGATTCAAATATTCATTTTTCTGTTGGATAGTGCATTTGTCGACGAAGGCTATAGAATAAATATAAAGAACATACTATGACCTATTGGAGCAAAGCAACGGGCGTAGCTAAAATGTAATAAGATATTTTTTTATGGTGCCATCTCTCACAAATGACACAAAACCAAGATGTCGTCTAATTCTGCGACCTAGCTTTCTCCTTCCTTCATTTTTTCCTGAATGACTATCTGAAAGAGTAATTGATTTTCGCATAATGAAATATTGTGATGCACTTACCTAGTTGGTATTACCCATCAACCATCCAAAATCATAGATTAATTCAATATGGTAGTTGACAGGTAGTCAAATTCAATACTTTTATTGAAATGTCAAAAACGATACTTTTCTATAAATTTTGTATCGGATCGCAACTTATGACGTCATCATATTTCTGCGTCAAATAGCTTACTTATTTCCTTAAAATTATCGAGAAAGAATTCTAAGGTAGATAAATTGTCAAATCAATGGATGGAGAGAGTATGATTATTTTTTAATTATTTATTGCATTGAAAAGTTGAAACGATTTATTTAAACTAGCCAATTTAGTCTATAATTCGTTGTAAGTAATTTACACTATGTAATGTTTCAGTATGGTTCCTACCCATATGAATTACGCAGTCCCTGACTCAACCTGCAATATCTACGGGACACCTGTTTTAGGCCAAAAACGTGATTGGGCCGGCGATGAACATGAAGGTATGTATGACCACTGTATTAGGCAATACTGCGAATGAGACATCTTGTTGTTTCATGTTCTATTGTTTGTGACAGTTCCTTTGCTACAAAACAGTTTCTGAAAACTTTTATAAAAACAATAATTTTCTGTCACAAATAAAAATGAGTAATATAAAAGTTATCATATGTCATATTTTTCTGCTCAAACTGCTGGGCTATTGTAATATAATTTACTACCGAAATACACTGGTAGCTGTGGATATCAATGATTCTTACCAATAACTATCGTGAGACATACTAAATTAAGTAAAAACGCGGGTTACTTACGTGAATATACTGAGAAAAACTCTACTAGTTTCGAACCACAGAGGGATTCTTCCTCATGAGCAGCGTGCGCGGTCGCGGCGACGTCGCACAGCTCACTGGCTGGCGTTGGCGCTCGCCTCGGTGTTGCTACTTGTGCTGCGAACCCAACACGCCCTCTGTCGGACACTACGAGCGTTTGCTCGACGTCGCCGCGACCGCTGCTCATGAGGAAGAACCCCTCTGTCGTTCGAAACTAGTAGAGCTTTTCTCAGTATGTTTTCGTGAGTAACCCGCGTTTTTACTTGATTCTTACCAATATTGTCATAAGACCGACAATATTAGGCAGCTGAAACAACGCGACCGAAGCCGTTATTTCATACCGTAACACTGCTCTTGTGCTGATTTTATGTTTAAATCAAAATATGTGTTCCAAATTATTCAAAAAGACTACAGTACAAGTGCTTTCATTTGTTCACTGTACAATCAAGTACTATTTATTAAATACACCATTGCTCTATGCTGCATTGACATAGTACAACCACTTTTGCGAATAATAATACATACAAATATAAAATATTTCAGTTTTAAATTATCCTAGCTGTGTCTAAACTGAAATTATGTAAAGGAACACTGTTTAGGCAAAAACATTGCGATCTAAAATAAAAGCATCTGGATAAGTATCCTCTTTGCTATATGACAATAACTGTGTAATTAATATCATACATTTGATACTTTATGTTGCAACACGTGATGATATTCTTTGCAAAATGCAAACGTAAAATTGCTTTGCATTGTGAATAATACTACAGTGAAACTTGTAACAAACTAAACTGCAAAATATTTTTTGATATACCTATTAACAAGCAAGTGTATATTTTAATAAAGTTGTATAGAATTAGTTAATACTTTGCGCATACGCTAAAACATTCTAATTACAAATTTTCATCAATTGCTTCTCGAATGTTACTTGATAAAAATACTAAACACCTTTTCTAAAATAGAAAAATCTAAACAAAAGTAAGATTTACACGCTCCATGGAATCTCATGCATTGCAAACGTTTTGTTAGCTCTTATCTAAGCAATCACTTATGTTTCTTAATTCAAATTTTTATAAGAAAATTGTCAGGATCTTATTTCGAGAAGACACAATGGCTAACTAGCAGAGAAAAGTGAAAAAAAAATACTTAGAGTTATTCTGGTTGAACTAAAAGCAACTGAGTTTATACATTAAACAATACATATTATTGAATAATGCTGATTGTCGAACAAGTTGTGACAAGGTATATTTTTATAATTGTGCTATATTGGCTATAGCACTAGCTTCTCAAGTGTGTTGATGCGAGTTCCTTAATGTCGTAATGTGACGCAGTAAATGATGATGATAAAAAACACTAATATGGATGATTTCGCAACCTACCAACAGCAAGTACCAATGTGACTTTTTCCGAGTTATATGTATTTTCTAAGATTATTTGGACACCACTGACAAACGGTGAAGGAAAACATCGCGAGGAAAACTAAGCATATAATTTCTAATTATTAGTTTAAAATTTGCAACCCGTATTGAGCAAGCGTCGTGATTAATGTTCAAATCTTGCTCGTGTGAGAAGAGGCCTTTGGTCAGCAGTGGCCACTTATAGGCTGTTGGTGTTGTTGTTGATGGCTGAATTCACCAATCTACTCATTGTTAGTGATATACAGTTGATTAATTTTATTTCCTTGTTCTGAAATTAAGGAGGTGTCCATTAATAATTTTAGGATACTAAGGTATCCTATATTTACTAAGGTATGCCTTAAGAGGCATTTCATGATGTCTTTCACTTTGATACGACGATGCTCAAATGGCCTTTGTAGCACTTTGAGGCCTATGCCAATCAAATCCCTTTGGCCACCTTCTCATTTAATTGTATTAAATGTATTTAATTGTGTTAAATGAGAAATTGTATTGTATTGTATCTACTTCAGTACATAGATGTAATTTTTTTCCCATAGGCATTTACTGCTAATTGTGTTAAAATATATATATTATGTGACATTGTATATGGACTTAACTGTTTAGATAATTCAATACGTATTTTAAATCGATTTTATCAACACTAAGACTTGCGAGCACGAGCCCTTGACAAGAGCTGTAACACCATTTTTAAGGAGATTTAACTGTTGATTTTTGTGTTGATTAACCCTTTAGAATCCGGGTACCTTTGACGTTTGTCGATGATTGTGTCATGGCCACCCGTTTTTACGTGACATAATAACTATACTATTGGAATAGTTTGATGATTCGATATTTCATAATATGGATGTTCTTTTTTCAACTTCGTAAGTAAAGATATTTGAGGGCGCATACATTTAAGAATGGATAAAATGAATTTGATTTGGCTGGTACCCACCCACTGAAATATTTCTTGTTATTAATGGACATTTCCTGAAAAATAATAACTTATTATCTAGACGTACACACATCAACAAAATCTTGTGTTTTATCGTAAAGTAAATTAAAATAATTATCAAATATTTCGGAATATACTGGCATTGTTATAATATGATTCATCTCTGGACTACCTAAAGTTCGGCTGTCAGACAATGCTCAAAACATTAAGTTCATCTGCCCATTTTTTTGTACTTTTTTCATATCATAAATATGTTAGGAAAGCAAGAGCAAATGTGTGGTGAAGAGGCCTTGGATCAACAGTGGCCTCATGTAGGCTGTTGATCTAATATAAAATTGACGAGGATATAAATAAAACAACTATTATACGAAATTTAATGAAAGGTGACAATAACAGTTCAATCAGAGATTCAAAGATAGTGCACTTAACAAAGTGCTCCACCTCCACCACACTTTGTATGTAAGTACAAGTACCTACCGCCTATATTCGTAACTGCCTACATAAGTCTACCAGATCGATTTTAAAACGTTCCACGTCGGTCTTCATTTTAAGTTTAAATTGTTGCTACCTACGAGTAAAGTGGCAAGGATAAATAGGAATAAATATTAGACAGTATTTAATGTAATTTCTCGTACCACAGTTGTTACACGTAACAGATTAGTAATCAGAAAAGTTGATATCGATCGCGATACTACATAACGTCAAAACAGAAATCTATTGTGTCTGAGAATTGTTGTTGATGTGTGTATACTGGAGATACATTGCTATTTTTTCTTGTAATTTTATTACACAATTAGCAAGCACAGCGATTGTAATTATTTGTTGGTTTTGTCTCCAGTCAGCAGCTCTACGGAGGTTCCCCTTCTCAGCAATGGTCACTCACCCGCAAAGAAGTGCAAAATGTGTGATAGCACAGAAATCAGGTATAATTTTGTATCTCTTAGCCGCTGCAGCTGTTCAGAACACGAGGTCAAGTATGACTGAGCACTTTAATGTATTATCATTGCTGTTACAATTACAAAGCATGCGTAGCTGTACTCAATCTGCTCTTATGCTTACCTTTGTGTTTATAAAGTAAAATTTTATTAAATGCGCGAAACTTAAACATTTATTATGTGTTTATGATTATGTATATTATTAGTTTAATTCTCCCGTCGTTTTGAACAGCTCAATAAATATTTTTGTCTTCAATAGAATATGGCATGAATGTATCTACTATATTGGTGATTTGTTAAGTTTTCTACTCAAGTGCTTCTAAGTGAGTTTATATTACTTATATTTATAGCATAAGATTGCGTAAAGCTTTTTACGAGTAGTAGATAAGTATTTTATATTGTTATTCTTACGAATATGTGAAAGAGACTACATAACTGTTTCAAAATTTGCGAAATGTATTGTCATATTAATAGACTGTATATCAGCAATTTGTTATATTTGAATATTTTGTAATTATTAGCACAAGCTATTTTATAACAAATAACATGTTCATGTCGGTTTGATAAGAAGTTATTGTTCTGACGCTCTCGTATTTCTCAGGGAGGAGTTGCTGAAGAGGAGGTTTGAAAGCCACAAGCAAAAGATAGAAGAACTAAACCAAAAGAATAGGGTTTTGCAGATGAAAACCGCAAGGATTTCTTCTGTTGTGGCGGCACTTTTCAAACCGGTTTGTATTCAAATTTTATAAAAACTTCTAGCCGAATGCCCCTTAAGCACTTGTCTACCGACAGAGTAGAAAACTCGAATGTATGGATATGACACATGACATTAGTGTCATCGTTTATATCTATAAAACTACATCTGAACGTTGAGCAGCTGCACTCGTAACACAGAGTGGACTTCAAGTCCTTTGTAGTCAGGGTGCCGATTGAACACCTGCCAACCTTAATGTAAGAGGAGTTTTGGCCGCGAGGGGTAGTCTATCGACGGTTCCGAGGTCGGCTATCGGACATTGCGCGACAAACGACGCCGTCTATTCGTGTAACTTAGTCATTAAGTACCTTGTAATTGTGTAATATTTTTGTTTGTAGTGTATGTATAGTATTTATAAAATTTTAATGTTAAATTTGTAATGTTTTATATGGGCCTATGATGATTGAAATAAATGGATAAATAAAAAAATACGTTTTTTGGAAAAACTTATCGTTTATATATGTTTTTTCCTTTTTCCCCAAGCAGCTGTCAACGGGCCAACTGCCTGATACAGTCAATTCGTTATAGAATACTCTGTATAATAAGTTAGAAATTAATGTTGCTATTTTTGTTTCAGAAAATGCCAGGTACTCAGGGTAAAGACAATGTAAGTTGTTTTATATTATTAATAGATGTCTAGTATTCATACGACCCTAACTCCTAGCCTAAGGGTCGATTATTCAAGCATCAGTTAATTGTTAACTGTAGAATAAAATTGACATTGGCAGTTAACTGAGCATTGAAAAATTGGCCCCTTTGTATGTCCTGTCAGAAAACCCATACTTTGTTTAGAATAAATATGATTATACACCTTTACGTATGCAACCAAATAAATAATTTTTATTATTTTGTTTTTCAGGGTTTGCTGGGTTCTCCAAATTTCGCAGCCTACGTGGCCAAAATGCTGCTGAACACCGACTCAGTGGTGCCCCCAGATGCCTCGTGATATAGATAGGAGTGGCTGACCGAACTGAATATAGTTACAGTAATTAGATATAAGCGTAGAATAGTCAAAAAGGAAAGTATACAAAGCTGACAAATGCTAAATTTTCTTTAACTAATCATATGTTTTGTTACAAATGTAGAAAAACATGTTTTTATTGCTACATTGCAATTGATAACTGATATTCGGCATAATTACGATAGATTATGACCTGCAGCTGTAGCCAAATGCCATTTAGCGCTAGTCTACATGTAGATTATAAAACTAAATTATATGGGATTGACGTAAATTTTGACATTTGTCAGTGTCATTCCCATACATTTAGTTTTCTACTCTCTGTGTAGACAAGCGCTAAAGTGGCGTTTGGCTAAACAAACTGATATAATAATATAGCCAATAGAGCCAATAGATAATATTTTTATAACTGAAGGTTACAGGGGTTTTGTTAACAATATTTGTGACTCAACACCGTACCTTGTCGTTTTTGTTGTTATTGTCTACAGTTAATATTTGTCTACTCTGGCCATTATAAATCCTCATATAAGCCTAAACACTAAAAATATAGCTCGTAAACTCGCATAAACACTAAAAATTACAATAAAATACCAAATGACCGGTGTAGAGTAAATTTAAAAAAAAACTTTATTTAAATTTGCGTCTATTTATTTTGCATATGTTTGATAAGATGAGTAGTATTAATTTTTAATTTTTGAATCAGTACATCTATGTTCCATATTCTTTTGTTAATTAAAAAGGGAAAATAAGGATAGAGCCAAATTTTAATGGGGACCTTCAGTGCTGAAGACCCCTTCGATTTGTTCTTCCCTACTTTATAAGATTCATTTTAGAAGTTTAATAACTTGAAATCGCTAAAAGTTTTGGATAGTCAAGTTAGATTGTCATAAATGTTTGTGTCCAATGAACACATAGAACACCATTTAGATAACATACCTATTAGAATATATAAAATTGCCAACCGACACATGACCATTTATTGTTTTTCTAAAATCTGAAAAACATTATTTACATCATTAATCTCTACAAACAGTTCCTTTGAACAATTTGGTGTGAAATTCTATCAATGAAAAATCTCTGATTTGTTGGTATACAAATGAATATACTATATACTACTAATATACTATATGTATATGTATTCACGTTACTAATTTAGGAACACACTTATTATACAAAAATGTCGAAGATCCTGCAGCCAGCCTAGTTAACTAGCTATATTGAAATGAAAAAAAGCTACAATTATTATATATATAATGATCAACTTAGCTTTAACCAAGGATGCTAAACTGCCAATTCCTACTGGTTATCAGTGGCAATACCATAAAGCAATAACTTAGCCATATTAGATTTTAAGATAGCTTAATTGAAAACTACGGTTTGCTCACGTAAAATAAGTATTTAACTCCATTTATTTTATTTTATACAACGGCTGGTAGAAAATCGGCGTGAAACAATACTCCCTCCCCCTTTCGATCTACCCAATCCCTGAATACCCAACAATCCTCGAATTCCTAATCCCCAAACGGCCGGTAACGCACTTGTAACGCCTCTAGTGTTTTGGGGTGTCTATGGGCGGCGCCGATTGTTTACCATCAGGTGATCCGACTGGCCGTTTACCGGTTTATTCCATAAAAAAAAAACAATACTTGCGTTGTACTTCGCTGCGTGCTATTTCTGGCCATTTCTGCGGCAACACACTTGTAACTTCTCTGGTGTTGCGGGTGTCCATAGGGCATTGATTGGCCTATCTCATAAGTTATTTTACGTGAGTAAAATGTTGTTTTCAATTAATTTTGTATGTGTCACGATAGTTGTTATATAGTATAATATATCAAAGAAATTCTATTTTGTAATAATTATATTTATCGTTTTTTAGCATTTTGTAACAAAACATATGTCCGATGATAAATAAAGCTAAAAGGTCATAGATACAATATATTGTCTACTTTTATACATAAATAATAATCATATTAAACATTTACCAACTTGCAGAACATGTCATAGTATAAATTAAATAATCTGCTACTTGCTGTTACATTAAGGACAATAGAAAGGATGGGGTCTTTGCAATCACAAGTGACAACTGTGGCATGTGGCTAATTCCTGTCCTATATTTTGAAAGCCTTAACCTAAAGATTCGATTAGTTCGATTATCCTGAGACGCTTTGATTTCGATCTCAACTCTTATTTCCTGGAAGGAAAGGTATTCGCGAGGGATTTGCTAATTCAGCCGCGAATTACGAATTACACAAAAACCGTCCAGAGACGCCACGTGACCTTAGACTGTTTGATAATATGTATTGATAATTTTCCACAAGTGGTTTTATATGTAGCTGATGTTTATTATGGCGTTATCGAATGAGCACGTAATAATGTCGAAGTTTTGTTGATATATAATAGTTAGATAATTTAGAACTAATCTGAAGGGGATCTATTATTTTGAAGGGAAACTAATATGTTTCTTTATACATGGTGACTTGTAACTGGATGTACTCCTCTCGGGAGGTGATAACACGTGAAAGTGGCTAGTTTCTGAGATATTCAACATTTTCGGTTTTGGTGAGAAACTCCCGATCTAACTACAAAAACATCAATAAATGAAAAACGACAGGTTTCATTTAAGTGATTTTAGTTTTATTTTGTTGTCAGTACATCAATAAGCACTTATTACTACTTTCACAGATATTATTCGTTTTAAAATAGCTAGTAAATTAGTATTAAATTTGGTTTGACTCACTAATTAATTGGTCAATAGAAAACTGGATCCATTTTAAAAAATTGATGTGAATTAGCTTATGTATAAAATTCTCAAAAATAAATTAATAATTGGATGATAAGTACCGTGTAAAGCAAAACAATTATTATTTACTAAATTTGTTCAATCTGACCTTCCCTAAGATGAATACATGCCCACAGACGGTTCCTTATCACTATGACGCAGGTCGAGTTACAAGTCACCCTGTACAGATGTATAGATATTAATTTTGCTAAGAACTGCACAAAAACATTAATTTGTTTCTTGCTGATGAACGGACTCTTGTAGAGAAAGAATTCAATGTTATGTTCGATGAATAATTCGAATGATCGAATCAGTGTACCCACATGTACCATATAAGTTAATATGTATTCTGTTCTATGACTACTCTATCTCTAGCTTAAGATTTAATATTTGTCAACTTCGAGTATAATTAAAAGTATGTGAGGCGCAAGTATGTATTAGATCAACCATATTAAAATTACGTTTATTTCATTGATAAACTTAACAAATGTTTTGAGGGAAAATGAAATACTATAAAATTGGACTGACCTCATGATTAAAATATATTTTACTTTAGAATTTTTCAAAGTACAGTAACTGATATTTTGTATGTTTTATACTACATTAACTAAATAGAACAAACTAAATTAATTAAAAATACCGGTTTACTTACGTCAATATTAAGAAAAGCTCTACTTGTTTAGAGTATCAAGGTTAATTATTATCTCACGTAACTGTTTGCCTGGTTGTAATGTTGTGACAAGTTTCGCCGATGTAACTCAAGCCACACTCACGGCCGCAGATAGACAAAACTGCGTATGAATACAGCCGTGGGCGCGCAAACTCAGTCAGACAGTCGCTGCGTCGTGTGTCACTGCTGCTCATGAATATAAGCCTCTAGAATTACTTGAAACTAGTCGAGTTCCTCGTCGAATAGTTTGGAGAGTAAGCCAATAAAGTATAATTATTTTAGCATATCTCACGAAACTTCCAATACAAAGTTTAAATTAAAGTATCAAGGTATTTTTAATTAATTTGGTATGTGTCACGATAGTTATTATACAAATATAGAACAAACTGTTCGGAATAACAAAAATACAATTGACAGACATACAGCTTGGCTATTTATTCTTGAAAATAAATAATGGCGCCCCAGTCGATCACGTAACAACTCCTATATAAGGCGACTAAAGTAATATTGAGACTAGCGCATTACTGGTGAATTTAACTCAAAAGTATCAAAAGGTGTGGTCGCACTGTTATTACCAGAACCATTGAAAACGAACCTTATTATAGACTTAATAATTTTACTTCCTTAATTATTTCACTTCTTTTAGCAGACAAAATAAAAACAGTAATCCGAGTCGTAACATTCACTCTGTCACAGCCGTTCGTTCGAGTAAAAACCTAATCTAAATTTTGTCCACCTTCTTGCTCTAATAAACGTCACTTACCTATATACTCTAAATAATATAATCGAGTCGTGTCGAAGTCGAGTTCCACTCCAAATTGTTCTTTTGCATGTTTAATAAACTTCTAAGTTAATTAATTCACTTAAATTCCAATTTTATATATTGTTAACGAAAAAAAAACGATAAGAGCTTTCAATGTACTTGAATTTTGTGCTGCCCACACCTTTGAATAATATTAGTTCTTCCTCAAACATTCTTTTTCACGAATAAATAGTCAGACTGTAATCGCCTAGTATACATTCAAGCTTAGGCTTCATAGCCTAAGATCTAAAATGAATTGTACACTTATATGTGGTATGATTCTATCAATCATTCGTTTATGTTTTGAGAACCCTTTGACCACCACGGCTGACTATAACCGACTTACGAAAAAATATTATTTAAAATGTAACACTAATCATTTGAAAAGTCACAATATATGCTATACGGGGATATACCCAACCGTGGCAGTCAACGGGCAGGTAAGAAACAAGATAAAATATAACTGCATATAAGTTGCCGATCTCGTAGGTACTATGACAAACAATACAAGAACTTTTGACTTCGTATTTATTATCATTGTCATAATTATTTACTAAAAATGTTTAAATGGATTAATGTAACCTGGCAATATCAATTTGGTTAGCTATAATATCGTGATTGGCTGAAGCAATTTTCGGCGGCTTTCAGAAAAGTATTTGTCACGTTTAAAAGCAAGCATCTAAATCGGTTCAGCTGATCGCGAGATAATCGCATTCCAATATGCATACCCAGGTAATATACATACAAACAGGTCTAAACGAGGTCCCCTTCGTTAGTCAGTTAAAAAGAAAACAGCATGAAAAAGCAAAGAGATAACCGTGACAATTCAATTGAAAGTGACAGTTCCAATTGAGACTGAAATGCGCGTATAAGAAAGAAGTAGAATTATAAAACATGTTATTAAATAAGAAATGAGTAAAGAAAACAAAATGGGCTACGTTCAGTTCATGCTTAATTAAACTAAATTATTAGTTTTTTTTATTCTATCTAATTTTTGTATTGTACATATTTGGAACAACTGACCTACAACTATTATTATGAACTCCAATGCTATGGTTGAGCCTTAATACTAAATCTACTAAATTCAGCCAGCGTGTACGATTGTTTTTATATTATAAATTTCGTGGGACATGCTAAATTAATTATTATGTGTACTGGCTTACTCACGTGACTGTTTGACGAGGACTCTAGCAGTGCCAAGCCACGCTGGGGACTCACATTCATAAGCAGTACCTACCTATTTTGTAACACGACGCGGCGATCGTCGCGCAGTTGACTGATTACTCTAGTTAGCGTCCAACGCGCCCTCTGCCGTCGATTTCCTTGTCAAAATGCGTGTGTGAGTCGGTAAACATAATAAATTAATGTACAATTGTGTTTGTGATTGTATGTTTACGTATTAGTTATAAGTTCTTATCCTAAACTGTATATGTAGCAATCTGTGAGTGCGTGTGTCTGTTTATTTGTATTTTTGAATACCTACATATTACTACAATTAATTTGTAAAATTTGTTTGTTTAATTATAATAAACATAAGTAGTTGATTAAATTATGTATTTTCTTTAATACTAATAGTTTTTGTTTTTTAGTTATTTTTTAAAATTAACCTATGTTGGATGTATATGTATTGCAATATCTATATTTACATTAATCTACGCATTCTATTACACGCGAAGTATGTGACAATTAATAATTAACTGTGCTATACTTAGTCAGGCTAGTTTGTATTCGCAATAAATCATAAGTCTGTTGTTCTAACAACCATAACTGAATCTGTTGTTCTTAAATTATTTATATTGTAAGAGAATACATCGATTAATAGTATTTTATAAAAATATAATGACAGGTTTAGGTCTGGATCAGCCATATCAAATTCGCACAAACAGAAAGTTATTTCGTAATTATTAGAACTCTCTGTGGCATAAGTTTTTTACTTTAGGAGATATACTAATTTTTATACATACCTGAATTAAAAAATATTCAAGCATTCATCATCTCCGAACATTTCGTTTGTTAATTCAAAATGTTTTTTTTTATATCAAATCGAACTTGATTAATAAATTTATTTGTTTGGTTTAAAATTATTTTTAAAAACATACAATTTATTTCCTTAGACGAATAGAAGTTCCCAAGGATGTTAATCATCGATATTTTTCAGAGCCAGTAAATAACAGAAACATTACTAAATATGCATGTAGTAAATTGTCTGCTCTGTATGTGAATTTGTTATGGAGTGTCTAGATTCAGTCAGGTTGCATGTTACCGATAATATGTATAGCAATTATTCTATTATATTGTACAGTTATATTATAATAGTGTTGCAAAGTAAGGGATCCCGGGCACTTTTGGGTAATGTATGAAATACTATACTTAGTTATTTACAGTTCGTATCGTTCGTACAGGTATCCGTGGTTTTTGTGCGTATTACATGGGACTCCATAATTATTGTTGAATAGTAGGTGTTTCACTTTTTAATACGTGTATGCCTGCGGTGGGTATAAGTTAATTTATAAAAATATCTGTTATTCCCGTGGGCGGCGCACATACGACTTGTCAGAATGGAAATTTGGAAAGAGAACATTTTAATAACATAACCAATTTTCGAACCTCCGTAAAGCTTATGACTGAGCTATAGGCAAAACACGAAATGAATACCTAATATGTATTTCATACATTGTGTTTGGCTGTTCTATTATAATATATTGCCGGTAACATATTGCATAATTATATTAACTGGTCTGGTTGTGGGTCTACACTAAAATGGTATTCGACGCGAACCTCCAATAGATTAAAGGAACTCGTGCTTCCTCCTTGTCTGCAATAATTGTAATGAAAGGTTTGTGACACGCATACATTATAGTTATTATGTAATTTGTCCTCATCGTTGTTCGTTAATTTTCTAGAAGTATACAAAAAAATATTGGCGCTCTGCATAGCGCGATGGGTTTCCAACAACTGGGCATGTCATGATAAGCAAGGTGAATAGACACACTAAATTGTACCTTGCTGACAATAACCTATTTGTTTTATAAGCACAAACAAATTGTACGAATTCGTAGCATTTCTGTAAACACTTTCTATGTTCATTTTCTATAGACTAGATGATCTCGAGGGCACTAGCCCTAAATAACTAAATACTAATTTACTTATTTCTAACGGTGTTGTGCATAGATGAAATATACTGTAATAAATTAGCATGTGACCTCGTAATGGAACTAAAATATTCTTTGATAATACATTTACTATGTGTACCCTTATTAATCAAAATCTTGCATATACTTAGCAGCAGCAACCAAGAGATAAGAAAACAATAGACGGATGTCAGTTTAAAAATTAACGTGGAACAAAGTTATTACGATGCATCCATATTGCGGCAAATGCGCTGGCTCAATGGCAATATGGAATGCATCAGCTCTGGGTGCACCGTAATATTAAGTAGTACCGAGTCAAAAATTAACTGATCCGTGGTAACGCCATTGATTGGTCAGAGCCGTAAAGCAAGATATAAATTAGTGGTTGCGCAATCTTATGACCATGATGCCATAAAGAAATAAGAACAGAAATGAAGAGAAACTTCATGCAAAACTAAGGCAATATACCTAATGTGGCAACAAAGAATTATTTAATTAGTAAATATATAAATTGTTATTATATACAATATGTTGTCTGTTTTTCTAAAGAACGATTTTTACAACTTTATAATGGGGATGATTATCACTAGTCAAATTATTTTTTTATATCTATGAATTTAGTATGAAATGTGCTACACCAAATAGTATATATTTAGTCTTTGCTAGAAAAACACTGATACTAGGCTTTTAATTAAATCAATTAATGAGAGTATACGTAATAAATCTATTATAGTATGGAATTTTTAAATACCTATCTCATACCATATTTTAAAAGATTTATTGCAGTCAAAAAGCATAGTTGAAAGGTATTGAGTTTGAAACAACATGAGATACCTATTAATTTCATAAGATACAAGTATTTCATTTTCGTTACCTTAATATCTTTCAGCTTGCGAATCAAAATCGTTACAGATTTTCAGCATACAAATATCCTATTTCATTAAAATAGTATTGTCGCACGACTAGTCGCGCAACCATTAGATTCGTCAATTGTGATATCAGAACATATTATAGGGGTTAATTTGATCGTAGACAGCCCATTGTCCCTTAGTTGTGCAATCATGTTGGCATCAGGTGATTGAAGTGAAATACCAAAGAGTATAATTTATAAGGGAATGAAATACTCCTAATTTCAATGTGTAATATGTTTTTTTAATGCACAATCTGGTATTGCGATCATAGAGTTCTAATGAAATAAGGTACTTATACAATCGGTTCGTATCTATACTTTAGGCATGGATGTAATAATAGGTACCTATATAATATAATCGAGACGCTTTTAAGATATTTTATTAAAGTAAAAAAATGCACATTAGATCTAGAATTCTATTGTACATTTTTCTTCTACTATACATACCTACAATAAACGAAATGGTTAATGGTGTTTTATAATTACGATTGTCAAACCTACTTATTAATAAAAATCTGTAGAAAGAACAGTAAACGTTGTTTCACTTTAAATAAGGTTTGGTTTAGATATTTTAAATCAGCCTTGACTTTTATAACCCCTTTACAGATTCCCTGTGCTGTGACTACTGTTTTCGAAATCTTCATGATTTCTAGATGTAGGTGCTTTCTGATTAATCAGTTTAGCAGCTGATATGAATTTGAACTTAAAAGGTTGTAAACGCTCTTAAAACGTATAAATATTAACTTGATAACGTTGAACAACCCTCATTGATGAAAATGGCGGAACTCGGGTCGTTGACCTGCAACATCGACGCCACGAGGTGCGACGCGTCCCACCCCGCTCCTCTCATTCAAAGTACCTATATAGGTACGTATAAATTTAGATATGTAGGTTAATACAAGGTGAAACGGAACGCTTAACGCAATGGTAAAATGAGTTTTATTTTCAAAAAGTAAGGAATTTTTTGTTTCTATTTAGTATTAATAGTTTATAGTATTGTAGTCAACTGCTCAAGGTTGATATTGCACGAATAATTAAAAACAAAAATGATTAAAATATCGTATATGCGTTTTCCGAAGCGTTCCGTTTACACCCAGTCTATTGAAAGTTGGCAAAAGCACGTCTAAATAAATATCTAGGGGTCCATGATTATGACTTTCCAATAAAATGCCTATCAACAGTAAAAACAGTAAAGCAAAATTTACTAGAGGAGAAAAATGTTTGTTTATTCATTTAATTGTAACATTCAGTTTGATAATGTTGATGATAATTATTTATTTTGTACATCTCTGTCTTGTAAACCATACAAAAACAGATGTGTTGAAGATATACAGGCGGTCATACGACAGAAGTAAGCTCTACAAGTCTCATCTTCACGATGACCTTTATCATTTAGTTTCATCATTCTTAACGTAGAAAAACATCTCACCTTTTACTCTCCAAAGAGACCACATATAAAATGAATGTCAAATTATTTATTTCCATAATCTTCACCAAGAAAGCAGTTCCAAAAGAAACGTATCGTTTCTTCTTTTATTTCTATTTTTAATATGTTCTAAACTCGCTACGAGATTTGCTACGCCGTAGTGCGCTATTGCGAGTGATAAGACTTGGCGTAGCATTAACAATATTTACGGAAAAGATGTTTTATAGCAATAGACAATGGATTTTGTCTGTTATATGTCAATAATTAGATTTGGTTTAGCTCTCTCCTGTCTGACAATAGTTTTTTTTTGCTTGTGGCGGGCGGCATGGCTGCTGTGAAACGTGTCGCAGGTTCGGCTTCCCCAGCTAGCGAAAATGTAGTTTTTTTTATAATAAAGTTATCATCAACAGTCTGGAGTCTGAAGATTTGGAGGTACAGCCTGAATACAGAATGAATAAACATTTCAATAAAATAAAAGCATATTTATAAACAATATTTTGAAGCACCCTCTTATAATTTTCTGAGTATTTATTGCGTACATCAATTTAAATTAGTAAACATAATCGTTCATGAACGATTCACTTAAGTAGGTACTTGAGACAAGAACCGCCTCCAGTTTTATTTCAAAAATATAATATCAATAGGACTAATTCAAAAAACATTGTATTTTTCTCATTTCTGTGAAGTGATCGTGTCCCTTTCACCTTTACAAGTACTTAGATGAGGCTCAGACAGAATTCCAAGTAAATGTTTATTGTACCTCATTCATTACAGTCTCATTTAAACGACTACGCAGTTTTTTTAACAATAGCACTTAAGCCACATTGAACATTTTCCATGAAGTATAAATAGAAGCTTCAATTGGACTACTTGATTTGGTGTGGGAGCAGTTGGTGGTAGGTTATATTACTAGGTTGATACCAAAATTTTACGTAATTACGTTCCTACTAGGATATAATAAATTTTTGCTAGGAGAAGCCAATGGGCTCCGGTTGTTAAATTAGTGGGTAGTGGAAACTCCCTCATAAGACATAAAAATCTTTTTTCTATGTGCTTGCTACAGAGGTCATTCATTTTGCAGGCCTGTCCGGTCTATCACTCTCAGATTACCAATCTGTCGGCGTGATGTTCCTGAATATAACGCCGCCTGTGATAGTTTGTAACACGCTCTTGTTGGGGAAACGCTGGTCGCTCGCTCCTGCACAATGCACATCGATGCGAGAGGATCCTGATATGTCAGACCACCTATTGCAGTGGAAACTCAAATACAAACTCGATGGAAAACAAACAAGTGAGTCATGCAGGCACTGCATATAATAAACAATTTCCAACAAACGATAGGAACTATGTTACATTCAGTTTGATACTTTCAGTACCTTTATCTTTTCTGACAGAAAATAAAATCAAAGTAAATTTTATTATTAGGTTTTATATTAGTCTATCGCGACTATTATCGGCACTTGTTATATGACCTATTTATGTACATGTAATTCTCTTTTTGTTAGGGATTCCTGACTAATCTATAGGTTGGTACCATCGGAATTACAATTCGAGATTACATAAGCTGGACAGTCCAGTGTAACCAGTCATTCCAATGCCGCCAGTTATTACCTAATTGTCCTCCACAGCTACGACCGTGACCGGGGATTAGGAGCGCTAAAGTAAAGTAGGACGAAGGAATCTAGGCCCGATTGAAAATTACAATCTAGCACACAAATGTCGATTTTCATCTAAGAACTAGCCCATTCAAAGAAGGAAGGAATTCTATATTATACCTAGGTTGTCAGAGAAGAATAAATATGATGTTAGCTATATACCTTAAGCCAAGCTAACACTACATACAATCATTTATAACGTTTGAACATAGAAGCGCTTTAGCATAAATACTATGTCTAAGATACTTAACTGCTACAAACATGATATGTATTGCATAGCATATGCACCTACATATTTTCGTCGCAATATATGTATATGAATGTAACATTGCGACGGCAATTCGATAGTCGACACCCCGTCGACACTATAATATAACTCAATTTCATTCACACAAAAGTATTCTCGGCTACGCAATACAGAATATCCAGGTTACATAGGTACCTAACCTACCTGGAATTTTCACATTTGAATATTTTCAAGTTTATTAAATTTTACATTGAATGCTTCGCAAGGCTCAGTTATAAAGTATAACTTATAAGCTGAGATTTCATACCGACTAGGAAATATTCGTCACGTATGACTGTGTATGTGTGGGAGGATTGGTTTCGAATACTGTCTGGCTTGATCAAAATTAATTTGAAATTCTTAGCCAAACAAAAGTTATTTTGATTTAAAATGGCCAGTACTTCAGAACGGCAATTGCATAGGTACCTAATAATCACAGTTATAGAAGGCTGTTCGTGTTTCTATTGGCATATCACACAAAGCTGGCTTAGCAAAATAGGAGCTAAACAAACGTTTTGTATGGAGAGTTCAGTGCTCATCAGAGATTAGTTATCCTATTGATGTTTAGATTATTAATATATATTAGTAGGATGCGACATCAAAGGCTTGGTAAAGCTGCGTAGGTATAATAACTGGTATGTTACTGAGTTCTGAGTATTAACAACTCCAGCATAATTATAGTGTAATAGTAATATGTAGCTGAAACAATAATTTGAAGACAAAGACGTAGATATCTACGTCCTTACCAACGCCAGCTCGAAGCAGGAGTAAGAACAGGGTGGTTTTAGTCAATAGAGTCTAACACTCCTTTCGAGACACCCAAGGGGGAATAGGAATAAGACTTGATGACATTCTTCCCTCAAAAAATATTACTTAATTTTATTTTAAAAACATGGATCGTCTTGGATACGCTCAAAATTCGAGTAATTATAGAATATCAGTACCGTCGTGGCAGCAACGCGGAACATGCGGCACATTCACATTGTTATTTGCCGTTGGTAGGTTTTGAACTCGCACTCTCGTGTATGGGAAGCGGGCGTCATAAACCTCTGCGCCACGTAAACTGATCAAAAACAATTGCGATGCGTCATTTTGATTACTTAGTCATTATCAGGTTGATATTCATATGCGACCATTTTAATACATTTTCATTCAGGATGGTCAGTTCGGTATTTTCCCAGTGATGATGCAACTGCGTAAGTGATATAGCAATTACACATATGTTTGGATTGAACGAGATGTATCTCTATGATTACTATTTGGCTATTTCCCTGTATAAATGTACTATATATATTCAAATGTACTCAAATGTAGTCAGTAGTTAGATTCCAATAGTAGGTAATTTAATAATTTAATACTTTCATTCTAATGTAGACAATCTAGTTTCCTTATGGCCTCGAGCATTTCTTTCTTTATTGAAACAGAGTTTCCTTTTTCTTGTATAGAAGCACTATTTTTTATGGATTGTCAGTACGCATAATATGTAAGCACCATGTTAGAATATAAGATTTATTTTATTTTAGTAAGTTTTGTAATTAGTACCTATAATGCGTCAACCGTATCTTTGCATAGTTCTCACATATACGGACAGTAATGGAATATTTTTTATGTATCAGAGACATATACGAGTAACGAACGGAGTTTCTTGCTCGTTCTTCTCCATTCGAATCTACATTTTGGAATGAGCACCTTGCTTCACCTAGCTTCACTGACGGACTGACTGACAGACTGATATTTATTTTGTATTTGTTGACGTTTCAAAAGTACCAAATTATGGTTTAATTGAAATAAATGCTTTGACTTTGACTTTGAAATAATATGCAGCCTACAAAATAAAGACCATAACCTGGAAGTGCCTGAAAGTTACCTTAAAAGGTTTAGTGTAGGTACCTGTTTTTTTAATGACGGGGGGAAACCTTTGGGGAGAACGACTAGGGAGTATGGGTATTTACTTCACTAAGCTCACCCCGGTGGCCACCCTCAGCACCTGTACGAAACACCGGGTCCTCTTAAAGACCTGCTCAGGAGACCCTGCGGTGCAACGCCTGTTAAGGCATATTCCTAGAGAGATGTGTGTGTCTTTTGCGCCTCGCTCTGCATGACGGCACGCGACCACTGTATCACCGTCTTTCCGGAGGCCACTGGATGGGCACCTAGACTCTATGCACCCGTGGCCGCAAAGGTCCGCCTGCAGTTGACGCAGGCAAGACTTCGGTGTGTTACGCGTCAAGGCTGTTGCTTTCTCTACATAACTAGCTATGTGTTGAGATTCCATCTACAATTCTACAGTCATGTACGTACAATTATATACTCAGAACTCATAATATATAGGTTAATGTAGGTAGATTTGTTCAAGTCTAAAAGTACGAAGTAATATACATACATACTTACATACATACATACATAAATACATACATACATACTATATACATACTTATACATACATATAGGTAGACACCTGCACAGGTATCTGTAACCTATGTTTACCGTCTACATGTGACTTCACCTGCAGTAAAATTGTCGTTGCAAAATTTGTGCGATACGCCGAACCCTTAGTTCACAATTTTGTCATACGATATTCTTGTCGTAATTAGAGTTCGGTAAGCAGTTTGGTTATACTTATCAGACAGTTTTCCTATACCCTTTGATGAGTAGCACGCATGTTATGTTGCTACCTATGACGTTGCATAAATTAAACCAGCATTAACGAACAAGTTTCCTACAGGTAGGTTTAAGTTTTTGATGTCAAAAAATAAAGTTCATTTATTTGCAAGCGAGAATATTCCTACAAAATAGAATAGGCTGTAGTTATTTCAACCAGAATCGTTACAGTTTCGTCAGTCATAAATGTGACTTCAAATCTCAAAGGTTCGGGTTCGGTCATCGGGCTGACTAGACTAGAATATATTCTTTTGTCATTATTGAGTTTTTTGATATCAAATCTGATTTCATTCTCTGTTATTTTAAATGAAACTTTAATGTGCTTATGCATGCATTTTTACTTGTATTATGTCTAATATTGAAACTAATTCATTTTCACAGATACAAACGTCAAGAGGACTTTAACGCATTCCCACTTTAGTCGTGATGATTACCAGAATAATATAGGACTGTTTGAGCATGCGGATCCGATCGAGAGAAATGAGTATTATGTTGGTACGTAACTAGAGGCTTATTTTATATTTATATTCAAATATTATTAGCTGTTTGGTTACGGCAGAGAGGAATACATTTAACCAAAAATCGCGGGTTACTCACATGAATATACTGAGAAAAGCGCTACTAGTTTCGAGCCACCGAGGGGCTCTTTCTCATAAGCAGCGTACGGGTTTCCGGTAGATCGACCCTGCACGCTGCTCTTGAGGAAGAACCCTTCTGTGGCTTGAACCTAGTAGAGCTTTTATCAGTATATTCATGCGAGTAACCCGCGATTTTTGGTTAATTTTGTAAGTATATCTCACGATAGTATTATAAAAATCTAGGAATTCATTTGTCACCATCCTATAGCTATAGGTCATCGCACACCTAACAGGCACGACTCCGGTGCGGCTCCAACCCAGCAATTAACTTGTCATTTATCTTATCATTTAAATATGAACTTTAAATCGTATGTCGTATGGCAGTGATTGGATGAGAAGAGCTGAAGACAGAGCTCAGTGGGAGGTCTATGTCCAGCAGTGGATGAACAAGAGCTGATAATGACGAGGATGACATATTTCATAACGTTGATATAAAAAAGACATAGCAGCAGCGATCTCTTCTAAACCTGATCCTTTATGGGGTCTCCAACCCGGTCACCAAGTGTGGAGAATATGTCATTTGTATAGACGATAATATATTAGATAATAATGTTCAATTCAGACAAAACAAAGTAAAGGCGTTGGGAATTTTCATGTTTCAATAGTTCACATCATGGTCTCGGTGTGACTACTCGGCTCCTGGTTGCATTTGATATTGGTTTACTGTACAATAAAGAATAAAACGCATATACATAATTTGAAATAAATAGGTCTAAGTTCCTACTTCAATACTTAGGTAAGTCAGATAGTACTAAAATCCACTATATTAGTAGGTACAACCATCGATAAACAAAAATAAGTTTCGTAAAAACACCAAATAATGTTATTACATATACTACATACATTATGTTCACAAATTCTATAGTTAATATAATCACCTTCGTCATGTAGTACCTAGAACGTTAAATTCTGTACCTACAATTTCCTGACACAGATACAGCGAGGTGCGATTATTAACTCTACACTGTTCACTAGACAAACGGTTGTAGCGCAACGTTTCCAGTCTCACATACCTAATAGGATTTTCATCCGAGTTCAATTCCCGAAAACTCTATCGCTCTCCATATTCCGGTATCTACCTATATACGTTCTTCGTACAATTTCTATTACTAAGTATACACGGTCGTACATATGTAAGCACAAACAAATGAAGAGGAGATACCGCTATATTCATAACTAGCAGCCCGTCCCGGTTTCACACGGGGTAGACAATTATTTATTTTTAGAAATTTGGATTGTTGTAGTGACATAACTACAATAGTTGGACATATTTTACCGCGGAGATTTTTGTAGACATTATGATGTTCTTCAATATTGTTGTACATTATTTTGTTCCATCGCTAATAGTTTCGGCAACGCATTCGACGAAAGACATTTTAAGACTCATTTTTCTACACCTTCGGTTACATTGTTCAAATGTTACCAAGGATCCCTATTTTTTTAAAAAATGAAATGTAGCCTATGTCAAATTGGAAGAATGTAGCTTTTTATTGGTGAAAGATTTTTTTAAATCGGCCCAGTACTTTTTGAGCCTATTCATTACAAACATACAAAAATAGGTACAAATCTTTCCTCTTTATAATATTAGTATAGATATAGAAATATAAACCACATTTTCATCGTATAAAATCTCTTTGATAAGACTGTTTCAAAGGCTTCTGGTTTTAGTGATCCTTTTTAAAATGTTCATATCGAGTCAATATTACTTTTTCTGAATCCTTCTACACTCATAATTACTTACGTAGAAACGCGATATCTGTGTTTCAGTTAACAGACGAAAATAACTAGAAACATGAAAAACACGAATGAAAATTAAAAAAAAATTTTTAAAACCATTACACATTGACAGTCCGTCCGTATTTCGCGTAGAAACGTTAGTTTTTTGCTGATTCCATTTTTGTTCTTTTATTTGTATTTTGTACACATGTAACGAAGGTATTTACTGTACGATTGAGAGTTTGATAATTACTTTTTTATTTACCAACTAAGTTGCAATATCTGTAAAAAATATCTTCTGAACACGAGCTGTTTCGAACCGACCGCTGATCTGGCAGTCATTGGGGGAGGCCTGTGTAATTTAGCATCCTGTCGTCGTGACATGACGTCCACAGCCGTCATGTTGCTGATATGTAGAAGATGTTAAGACAAAATGTGGTGGAGCAATAAGGGAGACGTCTTGCTTTTATGAATTACTTTAATTGAGTGTCCTAATATCCAACTTACACTATTTACTTATAGACCGAGGTGTAACACACACTACACCTACCCCGTTTTTAATTTTGGAAAGACAATGATTGAATTCTTCTTTTTTTTTGTTAGTTACTCTATGCAAAATAGAACCTCGTATTTTAATATTATCCGTTGACAATTGTTACAAAATATACATCCAAATTCTATTATCAATTTATCCCTCTTACATATTTATTCTTCATATAATCATTTAATTGTATACCTATTCATTTTACTTTAACTAATTTCTTTTATAAACACATAATATATTTTATTTAAAACTTTTCACTATTCTCGTAAGCTACACACCAACATTGTACATGTGTAAGCGCATTATAATTATTTAAACAGGACTATCATTATTAAGTAAAAACGCGGGTTACTCACGTGAATATACTGAGAAAAGCTCTACTAGTTTCGAACCACAGAGGGGTTCTTCCTCATGAGCAGCGTGCGCGGTCGCGACGTCGTCGCGCAGCTCACTGATTTTTTTTTTTTAATTTAGTATGTCTTTTTTTTACTTAACACACACAGTTTTTACTTAATTTAGTATGTCTCACGATAGTTATTATAAAAACAGGACTATCATTGTTATTTATCATTGTGTTTACTTTATTTATGGACTAGCTTTTACCCGCGGCTTCGCTCGCGTCACTAAAGGATAAAAAGTAGCCTATGTGATTTATACCAATACACACAGCGCCATCTATACCAATACTTTGGTTTTCCCTCGGGAATATCAATTTTTTCCGGGATTAAAAGTACCCTATTATTTAATCCGGACTTCGAACTTTACGTCTGCAAAAATTCAAAGCAATCGGTTTAGTAGTTACTGCGTGAAAGCGGAACAAACAAACAAACTCACTTTCCGATTTATAGTATTAGTAAGGACTAGTGTACTAGATAAGGAAGTTAAGGATATTCACAGTAAAAACGATAAAACCACGGACACGGAAGAATTATTGTAAGTTATAATAATGTAGGTACTCATTGCCAATGTCTATTTTATTCTACGTGGTATCAATTCCCGACTCTCCGTTCATGCACAATGAAACTACGAACATAAGCAACCACCACGAAGATGGAATCGTTTAGTTCTATTTCATTAACAATGTTTTTTCATTACGAATTGCTTTTGATCGTGAAAGAAACAAGGAAAAATGATTTGTTTCTAAAAAAGGCACGCTAGACAATAACTGTCTAATATCGTATGAACCCACAAACCAAATTAGCATGTATAATATGGCTTTCATATGAAACTGTGACACAATGCAGCGCTCTCCAGCTGGGGCTCACAGGGCGCAAACAATTCAATAGTCCGTTGATTGTGAGGATTTAAAGGATTTAATATTTGATGCAATATGTACGAACTAAATATCGCAAACTACATGTATGTATGTACATATTTATTTATTTGTTAAGGAAAAACAAACGGTTACATATTAAAAAGTATTAATATGGGACTGACGTTTGACCACTATCTCGCCTGGAACTACAGACTCTGGCAAAGAATTCCACTCCTTAGCAGTACGCACGCAGCTTGATGCAAAGCGCTTCGTGCGTGTGGGTGGGACATCTACCATGAATCGGTGACGCTTCGCCGATTGTCTTGTGGTACGATGATGGAAAGGACTAGGGGGAATCAAGTTGTGCAGTTCCCCCGCACACTCTCCGAAATGTATCCGGTACTGTACTTGGCAAATCTGTTACCCAGATATACGTTTTCCACAGATTACTTTTAATATTATTATAGAGTGACACAAACATAGGTACATTTTTCAAATAGAACAATCTGATGTTGAACAAGACAACAGCTTCCATATGGATGAGTTACCTAGTAAGTATTTTGTTTCTCCTGTATCTATCTATACTCCATCGGTTTAAGCTGTTAACTAAAGGTAAAAATATTAGCAACACCTTTCCAAATTAAAATGATGTCATTTGAAAAGTGACTATAATAACTTACATATTGGGTTTGAAACTGTATATACGCGTCACATCTAGAAGTGAATGAAATAACAATTCGTGTATCACGAAAATAATTGTTCCGTACAGGAGTTGGAGCTCCCGATTACCGCACGCGTCTAGCTGTTGCGTATGTGTCGGCTATTAGGTTCAGATTCAGATCAATTCTCTGCGTAATCCTAAACCAAGTACTTATATGTTTGAACGCACTCACAACCATGATTCAAGATTAAGAACATAAAAGGTATAATTATTGTGAAAAATATAGAGATGAAAGTTCTTTGAATTTTGTCTAACGTATGAGCATTCCAGAAATTGTTTAATGTTAAAAAATGTTGAACAGACTACGCCTGTAGCGGCCGCTTATGTATGTACTCTTTGCTACCCACACAATTTTTGGCTTACTATCCAGTTTCATGATACAACCCGTCATCTAGAACACGAAAAGAACCATTCAATTCAAATCGCACCTCTATTCCGAAGATTAGAGTGCTCAAAAAACAAATTAATGTTATAAAAGAATGAGATAAGTACATTAAGTATTGCCTATTTACAAATAAAATATGGTGTTCACAATTAAATCACATTTACGTCACACATTTAAAAAGAAGTAACTTAATTCATTACTTTAAAACAAAAGCATTTAACTAAATCGGTATTAAATGTATCATCAATCATCTATCAATAATAATTAACTTATCAGGGAACACCTACACAGATTCCATTGTGGACAGCCAAGATTAAACATATTTTTTTTGAGTATATTTTATAAGGAGCCTGTAAAATATATTAGGGAGGAATAGTGTACATATACATGCGTTATAGGGGTTGATATGAATTATTGGCGAACCTGCAGCGGGGATGCAACAGTCCACTTCCCGGAGCGGATACTGAACGGTCGTGTCTCGCTCTGTCGACCAGTTGCATCGGCAATCGCGTCTTCGCGCATACATTCTCCAAGTCCTAGTGAATTTACTAATCGCGAATAAAATGGCATCAATCCTGTGGATCGTCCCTCGGCCCGTAGTGATGTTCCACGTGAGTCATTAATTATTTTTTTAATTAACTTTCAGTACCGAAAAGCTTCTTCGTCAACGATGAAACTTTACAGAAGTACGTTCAACAGATGAGTGTAATTGACTGGGATATACATATTTCAGAGAAAGGTTTGTGATTGAGAATAGAATTTCTTGATTTGAGCGGCGTCTATTTTTCAAGTTTCTTTTTCCTTTTTTATTGGTTTTAGAACTTTATTGACCAAATATCGTGCGTAAACAGAATAAAATGATTTCTAATTATGAAATTGAAAATTTAACATTTTTAATTACATTTTTAAGGTGACACTTCAGATTCTATTACAAATCAAGTGAGACCGGTTCTTTCGGATAAATGTGAAATATATGCGAATACAATTGTCGAAAAAATAAGAAATTACGAGTTTTGTGTCACTTTTAAGGAAACTGGATTTATGGCCGGTTCGATATTGATTTTAATTTATACAAGTAGTTGCTTCACTAATGACTGCATCTAGAACATCATTTAAAGATTGACATGTAAATACCTTGTAATCTATTTGCACAAAAACATTTACTAATACTCTTTTTTAAATAGTAGTATATGTTAGACATACATAAAAATTGATAATTAAATATATTTTAATTCCAAAATAACTACTAAATTAATTATTATATTATGTAATGAATCAAAAATATTGTTCAGTATATTACTTATGTACACGTACTATCATGACTATAAAAACAAGAACTTGCTGAATTAAGTCGCTATAATTCCTGCAAATAGACCTTTGCATAATTAGCGTTTCAATAGTAAAGGTAGTAGTAATCGTTTCAGTCAAAAATTTGGTTCCTAATTTCAACTAAAGTATTCATGCATTAAATTAACTTTAAATAGTTAAGGCCTAAGGTTCACGACGTCGCGTCTATACGCGAATTTGTCGTTGCCGCTTCGTATCCATTTTTCATTGTTTTTAAACAAGATGCGTATTTGTCACTTATAGGGTAGTCCACCTATTGTCTCCACGACGACAGTATGGTTTAGTAGAACAATTAAACATTCAAGTAAAATTACGACACTTCGTAGCTGCTACTACTACGCCGTAGCCGTAGCTTGGTTCGTAGCACACGCGTAGCAGGGCGTTTAGTATTTATTTCATCCAAGCTAATGAAATTGTCATAGTTGATTGAAGCTAATAAACCCTGTTCGATGGCAAATCGTAAAAATCCCGTAGATAGACAGTTATTTGTTCATGTGTAGTCCAGAAGTAGTGAAATATAGTTATGATAATCATTGTTATAAGTAAAACTCTCGTCTCTCGTCTCTCAGCGTCTATCAAGCCACTCGTCTTGAGAAACGCTACGGCGTCCTAACCGCCTGACGCAGGTGTTTACCGAACACGGAAGTTTCAGTAGGTTCCTGTTTTTGATTGGGCGGGAGGAAACGCCCGGGTGCTTTCACTGCGATGACCGCCTGGAGGACTCGGTAGATCATACGGTGGTGGTGTGCCCTGCGTGGGCTGAGCACCGCCATGTCCTCAGGGATGTGATCGGCGACGGCGACCTGTCGCGTCGGGCTCTGGTTCAGACCATGGTACGGAGCGAGGGGAGCTGGGATGCCGTCTCCTCCTTCTGCGAAACAGTCATGCTAGCTAAGGAGGAGGCGGAGCGCGTGAGGGAACGAACTTCCTAGAACGAAAGACACTCCGGGCGTCGGGTATCACGAGAAAATCTCCAGCCACCGTAAGCACGGGCCGGCGGACGGCTGGCACGGGTAACTCGCCGCCCCACCAGATCCACCAGACCTGTGCGTACGGCGTGTCGCGTTTCACGCGCGCCTCAAAGAGCCATCAAACTACCATAGATGGGGCCCAGTAAGGCTGATGCCCGATACGGAGCCGCGGAGGACTGAACACGTGCCAGGGCTCCGACTCGAAGAGCAGGAGTAGGAACGGGGTGGTTTTTAGTCAATAAGAGTCGGATACCCCCTCTCGCTGCATCCAAGGCGGGCGGGAGTCATCATGATTTTCCCACGAAATTTTGTTGCAACAACAAACCCAATAAAATGGACAATTATCGAAATTTCATAGATGATATTTATATATGACTAATTTTTATTTTAATGTTCGTCTTTCGATTGTTTCAAAATATTAGACACGTATTTTTATTTTCTTATAGAAACGAATAATTTCGAAGATATATTGATTTGAAATATCGCATAACGTCTCTTTTGAGTACGATTTATACTCTAAAATGACATAGCTACCTCCCAGGCTCCCACTCCTAAACTTTGAGTATAAGTATTGTTTATTTATACGAATAAATAAAAAAATACGTGTCTGATATTTTAACATTACCAAACTGACGGACTAATTCGATTTTTAATTTTCATACCCCGTCATCATCCCTATTCTTGAGATTCGCGTTTATAAATACATTTAGCCGGTATTTATCTGATCCGGTGTCAGCTATCACTGTAGTTATAAATGCAGTACTTTAAGAATTTCATCTTCACAGAACTGCAAGCATGTGGAGCATATTTACTCCATTTTCAAGTTTTCAATGTGTCAGATTCAATATTTATAGTTATTTCCATATTTTAGATCACGGCGCGATGTTTGTCATGAACGCGAAGATTATTGGATTTTTCTCGTGGGGCGATACCAGAGCAAAAGGCATGCCTTTGATAATTTTAAACTTTTTGCGTTTTAGAGAATGGTTTGAAAGTATAATTTATTAGTGAAGTATAATCGTCTATTATTTGTATCAATATCTTACATTAGCGCAGTAGAAACACGGATAATTGGAATCGTTTGAATTAAGTTATCCTTAAAAAAAATAACGTACTTATGATTACGTACTATTTTGAACCTGAAGCGGCACACTCAATATCCATGACTTTCAATTTAAATAATGAATCCGTACGTCGGCGGCGCGGTTGGCACTGCTTTGACTAGAGTGCACCGCTCGTTGACCGCCCAACGCCGCTGTGTTTTCGAGGACCAGTCCATTTGATTTTACACATAAGATCCTGTCGATCGCGCGCCGCCGCCGCCGCCCCGCCGCCTCCGCCGCCCCGCTGCCCGCAAAATTCGAGGCAGAGGCCTTACTATCAATAAAGTGGAACAAACCCTCGTTGCGGAAGAAGGCATAGGAGGCAAAATCCAACTTCGCCATGACGCTATGACGCTGCTCCAAGCGGGTAGTTGGACTAAACGTATATCGGAAAAAATTAAATAAGAATCAACGTCATTCGTTGCGAGTTTAAGTTCATTAACGTTTTCGCACACCTTACGAGCACGACTCCGGCACGACTCCAACCCAGTAATTAACTTATTCCCAAAGCAAAAACCGCCGTGCCGGAGCCCTACTTGAGCCATGGTTGTTAAATATGTGATGATATTTTTATCCATTACACTACGTAGCACACGCGCATTGAGAATAAGTACTTAATAATAATAAAAAATGATAAACCTCTTTACTATGTTTTTTACGATTTTTCCTTTTTCGAAACTATTCGTTTTTTTTAATAACTGTATTTAAAAAATAAAGGAGAATAAATCACAGAATTCTGTATGTCTTTCAAAGTTGTACCTAACGGACTTTTTCTAAAATTCATTGAAAATCTAGAAACAAGTTTTAACCGGAGAAGGGCTTCTTTGTTAGATTCTCCGAACCGAATAACAAAATAACTGTAGCAATAAATATTATATCCAAAATTACAAAATGATGCCGTACCAACAGTAAATAACATTATGAAATCTATGATTTAATATTCCAGTACCAACTTATTTTCAAAACTGAAACTACAGCATACAACAATTTAACGGAAATGGCGGAAAACTTCAAGATTTGTCTCTCAAGAGGATATAACCAGTCTATACATCACCTGGTTATAGTGTCGAACTCAAACTATAAAATGCGATCAAAGGAGAAGTCTTGCTTCACTAGCTATGACAGCCTTAATTGCATCATAGACAACGGAAATGAGAATATAGTCTTCTACTTACCCCTTCAGAAGCAAGCACTTTGTAATCTTCTCTATTTGGTTTAGTTATGTAAACATAAAAGCTTTTAAAAGCTTTACAATTTTCTAGTCACTTTATGACACACAAACGACATCTTTAGTCGAATATTTTCTCATCAACTTGAAAGTTGCATTTTTCTTGCTGCCGATGCTGCTTAACGGGGGACAAGTTGTCGTTCAACTTGAAAGACTAAGGGGGCAGGTATTTATTCAGCGAAGGACGTCTTCCTACTGATGATGATGATGATGATGCTTAGTGCCTATATTCATAAGATCGGATGTTAATTTTATGATATACCAGATAATGTAATATCAAACAGATGTACCTATGTACTGTTCGTGCGTGGTAGGAGAACCGATCAGGATATATCAGGACGTTAGATATAGGAAATACCTATCTAATATGCTGTTGAATTTACTCGAGGTATACCCAGCATATGCTCGAGTTTCACAACAATCTTGCGCATTGAGTGTCTCTTGTCAGCTCTGTGACAGTTAATATGTTTAAAAATTTTGATGAAATGCCAACGTCGTTCTCTTTCAGGTGGAAATTGATGTCATTATGACTTCATAGTGTACACTTTACAAAATGTATGCTATACGACACTGAGTAAATTTCACTTTAGCACCGCGATCTGTGATCGCTCGATGATCGATCGATCCGTGATATTTTCTTGAGCGACTGAGGTCTCAAGTTCAACTGTGGTTCTCTTCGCTAGTAGAAGAATATCTTAGCCAATATATTTTACAATTATGTTAATGGTACTCTAACGTGAACCTATTGTATGAAAACTTTTGTGGCAAAAATAGGGTATATAAGCCATATGCGAGCTAAGTACCAATGCTGCTAAATTAAAAAATAAAAAGTAGAACCCTAATCGCCGTAGTCGAAATAAACACGGAGAGATATATCTCAGCTGTATAAGACTTTCTCCTTTATATTTAACTTAAACGTTTGTTCAGCAATTCACGACTCTTCCTTACAACCTGTTGGATATAGAATCAACAGGTGCCTACATTATATTTTCGTCGGTCAGTCCGCCTTAAACTTGTTCGGAAAACCTTTAAAGGCTAAGCTCAGCTTATCTATTTTCATTTGTAACTGGCAGATCATCGCGTGGATTTTAGTTTCTTATTATTTTATAATACCTTGTCTAGATAATAATTGAAGACAGTAAGAATGATTTACTTCGCCTTTGAGCTATGCAATTTGTAATATTTCTTTTTTTATAGACTGTCATTTTCTGAGTTCGTATTAGTATGGGTTTATCATTAAACTTATCTACACTTCAAAATATTATACATATATTTCATATGTAAGTACACAAGGCAGATCACCTTGTCTCTTTTTATACCCGAAGGGGTAAGCAGTAATGTACATATACGACACTATACAATGTAACACCCACGTATCACTATTTATGTTATGAGTCCCATGTAAATACGAGTAAATTGGTATTAAATTCAAGTTATATTACTATCATATCAAACATTGGATCTTACGGTCAATAACACACTTATAAACACAGAAGAAAAGGCTTTATTCTGCTCATCGACATCTCTAAAGCAATGTTCGTACTAGATAAAGAGAAATATTCCATGAAATGAATGAGATATCACGTACATTTGTGGTATTTCACCAAGTAAATGTATTAAACAGGAGTACAGTTTCGGTGGACGAGCGATATTGTGGACTTGTGGTAGCTGTAGCAATGTAGCATTATTAACCAACGTTTGTGTAATGGTTCCGGTTATTCACGATCCTAGTTCCCTTGTAAATACATCGCGGAAAAGATTATTATTGAGCCTATAAACATAAATGAATTAAATATGGTAACGTGGAAACTTACATCCGGAGCTGTGTACGACCTAAGGGGTTATGGTGACTCTGGCTCGAAGCGTGAATATGAAGGGGGTGTTTGTTTTTAATCATTAAGAGTCTTACACTCTCTTTCGCCCGACCCAAGGCGGGAGAATAAAGGAGGAGGCGGGACGCGTGAGGCAGCGAAGCGCTGCCTCCTCGCAACCCAGCCATCGCGAAGGACACACCGGGCGTCGGGGATCGCGAGACGATCTCCGGCCACCGTAAGCGCGGGCCTGCGGACGGCGAGCATGGGTAGCTCCCCGTCCGACCAGAAACAGACCCGAGCGTACGGCGCGTCGCGCCTCAAAGAGCCATCAGACCACCACAGATGGGGCCCAATAGGGCCGATGCCGATTCGGAGTCGCGGAGAACCTAACGGGTAACCGGGGCTCCGGCTCGACGTGCAGGAGAAGGAACGGGGTGGTTTTTAGTCAGTAAGAGTCTGACACTCCCTTCCGCCTCACCCAGGCGGGAGCAGTCATTCGATGATTATCCCCCCTTCAAAAAAAAGGCGGGAGAAAACAATGGATGAAAAAAAAAGTTGTTCTACTCATGACTTCGTTCAAAAGTAGGACTTAGCAATCACATTATAATATAACAAATATACAAATAGGTACTATAGTATTGTTATACTTTTTTTATTACTTGTTGTACTTTAGTTAATATGTGACGTACCACAGCTTACACATAGAACCCACTTAGTTTTTATATAAACTTCCGTGGTACGCAGTGACTGGGCTTTACCCAGTTATACAGTGTCTTTTGTGTCTTTAGGCTTACTTCATTCTGTCTCCTGCAGTAATTCACCGAAAGAAGTGGAAACTAACGTTTGTTTTTTCTTCTCCTCTTATATTATCTTCTGATTCTCCTTGTTGCGGGAACCAAGACAGTTATTCATGTACCTGAGACGCGCCGGACTTCAGTGTTCCGGTGTTTTTATGGTTGTATTTACTGTAGAGGTAGATCCTGGCTTACAGGAGTTGTAGCGGTTAGGAGGCTGTGGCGGGCTTGTCCCATAAAAAAATATGTGACGTATCACATTAAGGCTCATACATTTAGGGCCGATTTTTCCAACGCCATATAAATTTTACTTGAGGATTCACTTTGAACATTTAACAATTTCTTCCATACTAATAACTGTCAATGTCAATTTTATTCTACTGTTATGAATAAAACTGATGATTGATAAATCGGACCTCACTGCGATACTCAGTACATACATACATACATACATAACTTCACGCCTGTCTCCCATGGGGGTAGGCAGAGACTAAGGAACGCCAATTACTACGATTCTTACATACCTCTTTCGCTTCATTAACAGTCATCAATCTTTTCATGCATGCTCGTCGGTTAAGGGTACTTTTAATTTGGCCCTTCTTTAATATATCGCCAATCTGGTCACTATAGGGCGCCCTCTACCGACGGCCCCATTCATATCCGCTCTGTATACTTCTTTCGTTACTCTACTTTCATCCATCCTTTCTACATGTCCAAACCAGTACGATACTCAGTAAACTAAACTATTCCTTAGTAACGATTTTGTTCCGAAAACAATTGCTAAGGACTGGGTTAATTAGCCATTAAATGACTCTAAGTACAGCGGTTAGTGATTTAGTAGAGTTTAGGAAATCGGTAACTTACAATACTACAATTATCCAAAAATCTTTGTCAATAGGTAGTCTTGAGCCCTGAGATCCCTTCAAGTGAACTATGTAATGTCGGTGCCATATTAAAAAAATATCGTCCGCTATCAGTTCTTTGACGAGATCAAAATAATATTATTTTCCTTTCGATTAATTCAATTACGAATATATAAAAGAAATCTGTACAATAAGTATAATTGAGA